ACGACCAAATGTTGAAAAAAATAGTACAAAATCTGAAATTTGGAAAAAAGATTATCTTTGTTGAATATACTTTAGTTAGACCTATATTCACCAAAAAAAATGGAAATAATCGAGCGTACGGTTTTAAAGATATAAGCCAAAGTATGACCTAAAAGTGCGTTACATAAAACAGAAGTGGTTTTCGAGGTTTGGGTACAAAATGGAAAAACTCTGCGAATTGGATAGGGCTATCTGTTTAACATTTTTTGTGCTAATAAATGAAGTATTGAGAGTTAATTTTCAAACTTATTAAATGTAAAAACTTGTCCTCTTTTTTTGTTAAAAATCCGCGGAGGCATCTGGCGAACGTTACTGGCGTAACGTTACCAAATTCCGCGATTATAAAAGCCTAAAAATATACTGTTAGCCGAGGTTGCACAAACACTCTGATAATAGTTTTTAGTTTAATATGTTAGAAAGACTTTAAGGAGAAACTTTTATCAATAATCATCTTCTTCTTAGGAGATAATAGTAAAAGAAAAATGTCTATAAAAATACCAGAAAATACCAAAAACGTGAACTTTTGCTTATTTTCATAGGTTTTAGGATGAAACTTAATGAAATTATATGTCAATAAAGTAAATTAGTTACCTTTCAATAAATTTAGAAAAAATTATCCGGAAAAAATTATATGGAAATCGGTTTTTATTGACTTTTTATGATTTTTGGCCTGGTGGACCTTTTGGCGGAACTGCCCATATACAGCTTGGTGCCCACTCTTCAACAAAACTTTCGGGTTTGATTTTAAAGTTTTCTTCATACTGTTTTTGGAGAGTTTCGGTAAAAGCGATTTTTATTTCATCATGTACTTACCACATATGTAGCAAAATGAGTCTGCTTGGAAAGTACATGAAAATGATTGGCCAGAGGTATCCATGACAATTGATTTTAATTAATTGTAAGATGTTTTGGTAAACACACGATCGTATTCTGAGGGAAGTCAGAACTACACTAAGGCACAGACACTATTGGCACAGAGTTATATATCCATGACTATGATTAGGTAGACGCGACGAGATCCAATTTGTGTGGACCTGCACTTGTGAGAATATAAAGGAAACATTTGACCTGAATAGGTATCCTACCTCAGATAACGAAAAAAGTAACTGTCAACAACATTTCATACCAAAGGAAGGCGATCAGGTACCAAATGTACAACCCTTTTTCGTTTGCTTTGTTCCCAATTGGCAGTTGGGCCCGCAACCTTCCAAAGGTTATTTTTTGTTAAATTTTTTCATTTTTTAGATTTGGTTAGCGAATTTTAGCTCCAAAGTCTTTCCATAGATTTTAATGAGCGATACCTTAAACGACGCCAAATTAATGCACCTATACACAAAAAGGACTCAGGATATAATTTTTTTTCGACTCTTCCTGAGTTTTTAAAGTCAAAATTTCGTAAAAAATACCGCACAAATATAATCATTTTTGCATTTCAATGCTTTATATTTCCCAGACCGTAAGCTGAAATCACAAAGTGTTTGGGCTCAACTTCTAGCTGTTTAAATTATCTTTTTAAAATAGCAAAGTTCTTTACAACCAGACGTAAGATACTACAGTTATATGAAAAAAACAAGCGCTACCTCTGAAAAAAGCTTAAAAAAATACCAGATTTCAAAAATTCTTTAAAAAAAAGTTCTGCCATAGAAAAAAAATATATATCATGAAACCATTTCTAAGCCCCAAATCTTTAAGAAAAAGTTGGTTTTGTTTTTATCAATGGACACTGGTGTGGTGGTGATGGTCTACTATACGGTTACACTGCTCAGTCAGCTGTGGGTTTGCTTATGACTTTCTTCAAAGTAAGCAAACAAGTCAATGAAAGGCACTACTCTGGCAATGTTATTATCGCTATGCTCCGTATAGTCCAGGCCTCTTTCCCCATCATTTTATTGGCAATCAGCAGCAGCGACCACCACGAAGATAGCTCGTTGTGAGGAGCATGGCGAGCTGACATGGACACGGATAAAAGTAACTTAATACACATACGAAACAAATAAACAACTTGAATGTATTTATTTATAAAACGTGGGATTGGTCAGTATTGGATGAATCCATTCACGCGGGAAGGAAATGCAATCAAAGTGTTTTTTATATTCATTTAAATTAATAAAATGAATTATAATCTTACTTCATTTTACTGCATTAAATAGATTTAGATTGTCTTTAATATTCCAATTTCCTATCCGGCTTGCTCCATTGCTTCCTTTCATAATTACTACTGAAAAAGGGGGCCAAGCGGTTGGAGATGCTTTCCTCAGCCAGTGGAGAGGCCGGCAAGGTCCTTAAAATAAGAGTAGACAGACTTCGATTCCTTCCCAATAAATGGCTTTGTACAACCAACTGTTTTGCAAGGAGTCGACTACTAATTTAGTTTTTAGTTGCAAATAAATAAAATTAACTGGGCTTAAACAAAAAATATTTTGTTTCAAATTTTTTATAAATCTTTAAATTTAGGATGCACGAGCACATGGTGCCACGATGTCCAGAAGACTTTTAATTAATTGTGAAAGCTAAACTTTGTGTGGCGTTACTAGTTACTAGTTTTGACCATATGTACATAGTATGTGTGTACCTATGTACATATGTATGTTCGAGTCCATACTCGTATGCCAGGAGTGCAGCCTGTTATCCGGCGCACTGACACGTTCGAGTTTGAAGCGTCATATGATTCTATCGAACATAATTAAGGCAAAAGTGATCCAACTACAACCGCTATTGTTGAAGCCATGGGACCTCTGCATCAGCTAGCGAATTTATTATTTTCTATACCTATATGTATATTGTTGCTTCCGTATGCCGTTTCTTTTGCTGGTTCTGTTTTTGGCTTTTTTGCACGTTCGTTAGCCGATGTCTGACGCACTACGTGTACGTACAAATGTATGTATTTATGTATGTATTTATGTATGTATGTATATGCTTTCCTCCACTGCCCCATTGTCATTTATGCAGCCAGCAATATGACAAACTTCGCTGCAAGCAACCGCAACAGGGAAAACAATAAAAGACAAATTGGAACGCTGAAGTTGGCTGTTGCAACTGTTGAATACCCACGACATTCGGATATCGATTTCAGTAATTGTGTGCTGCAAGCAGAAAACAGTCCATGTAATAGTCCAAAATACTTATGGTAAAATATGCTTGGACTTTTGATCTTGTTTTGCTGTTCTCGCTTCTCCAGGTCAAGGATTCTACAGATCCTAAGGGTGTCTCGTAGAATTACTTCTTAAACAAATGCAAGCAAATATTTATGTACATATGTATGTGTGTATGTACATGTGTACGTGTGTTACCCATTCATAAAAGTTATTAAATGTTAACCTTTCTTTGGGTGATACCAGCATATGTATGTATTGTACATATGTATCCGCGGGTGCAGCATACACCGCGATCCCAGGGTAAACTCGGGGGCTACAAAAACAGGAAGCAGTCTGTGAGATTGCGAAGAGGAGTGTAGAGGGGTGGGGAAGGGCCCCTCTCAGCGGGGAGTCATTCAGTGCACGCAAGGCTACCCTCTGGCGTTCCCTCTCCTTCTCCTTTCTCTTTTCCGTGTGCATTCTCTAACCATTTTCCTTGCAGCTTTTGCGCATTTTCTTTTCATGACATTTTATTATGACGTCAATGGGTGGATGCGTTTAATTGACAGCAGCTGCTGTAGATTCTCTCCTTTTCCCCCTCCCTTCTCCTTCTCCTTCACCACTTTTCCTATTTTATTATATTTTCTTTTATCCATTTTTTTTATTGCCAGCTACAATGCGAGTACTCGTACACACATATGTATATATGTACGAGCATATGCAAACATTTCAGATTGAATGGAGTGGACGGTGAAGGTGGTGCTGTTGAGCTGTGGAGACACAGCTGCAGAACCGATATAAGAATTGACACTTTTATTGCCGTTCGATACATGAGCAACATTTCTGGATTCGCTCTTGTTACTACAGTTGCCTATACCTAGTGATGATGCTGATCCTGCTGCTGCTGCTACTACTGCTGTCATTATTAGTGAGCTTGTAGTTATTGTAGTTGTTGTTGGCATTCCCAAGTAACTTTCTGAAGTGCCAGATACATATTTTTATTTCTAATTGGTTCTCTGGAATGGTTGTGGTCTCTGGAGTTGTCGTATAGGCTGTTGCTGCAAGTGCTGTGTGTATCAGAATGCAGTGCAATATTTTTTAAGAAATACATCTAATGAGTGGTGGTAGAGGGAGCTTGCGGGTAAATAAAAGATTGAAAGCACAGAAACTCTCTGCCCAAGGAAGCCACTCGAATCCTTCCAGTTGTACGCATACTCCCTTACATATGTACACACATGATCATAATAATAGGTACACACATCTACGTAAACTTTATCATAGCAGAAAACAGTTTTATTCGATATTTGACAATTCAAATTAGTTCCCAATTATTCTTAAAGTATTTTTTTTCATTAATATAATGTTTTTTATAGTATAGGATAATGTTATAAAAGAAAAGAGATCCATTTTTACTTTAGAGTCGATGTCAGGCTGATCAAAATAATAGGTACACTTGAAGTGTTGTTAAGATAAAAATTTGTTAAATGAATATTTAATATTTTTTTTTGCTTTATTAGTATTAACTAGTTAATATACAGTTTATCCACCTCTATTTTTGGTCACCAACATGTGTTGTCAACTCACATTTCCGATAAAAGCTCTGTTATCAGGGGGTCCCCTTATTTATTTTTTTTGTCAAGGAGTTGCGACATCTTGACAAACAAAAATTACTACAAAAAATGTTGTTTTCAACACATAAAGTACGATAAAACTGATTTTAATTGAACATTTTCAACGTGTACGAATCTGCAGGAATTTTCCGGCACTTTCCCGCCAACTGTTTTCTGCTAGCTCCAGCTGTGCCTGACATAGATTAGAGTATTAGAAGCCATAACTTTATTCTATTAAAATACCTATTTTATCCGATTCTATTTCGCTTTTTTCCAGACACGCAAACTGTGGAAACTCTGGAAATTGTGGGACATCGAGATTTTAACTGCAACTGCACCTGTATCGGCAACGGAAAGAAATAATACCCCCAGCATACGTGCATTCATATGTACGTATGTATGTATGGTACACACACATCATCATACTTAAATAGGTACAGCAGAGACACGCAAACATGACTGTCAAATTGGCCAAGCTATTTGGAGGAGTTGGGGTACTGGGTGTGGGTGTGGGTGTGGGAGCTGGTTCCGGCAGCGCTGTCAATGGCGAAAGCGTCATGGATGGGAACCACCAGCTGATGGCACACACGCAACAGCAACAGCAGCCCCCGCCTCTGCCTCTGTCGCCAACAAATGTAAATATGAAGAATCTCAAGTACTACGAACACCTGCAGGCCACCGACGACTGCCACGATCTGATGCTGAACGAAGAGGACGATCGGGACGACTGCGAGGACAGCATGTCCCTGAGCTCCGGGTGCATGCAGCGCAGCCACCCGTACAACAACTCTCAGCGGCCCCTGCTGGGGGAGCGTCGGCCCCAGCTGACCTTGATGGCTGTGGGCCAGAGGGCTGTGGGCAAGTCCTTTCAGCAGCACGCCCTGCCCGTGCCACCCCTGCCGCCGCAGAGAAACCACGCGACCGCCGCGTACGTATCGCCCTACGTGCATCAGCAGAAGCGCGACAGCGCCAAGGGCTTGCACGGCTTCAACGACTTCGACGCCCTGTCCCAGCAGTACAACCAGCATCTGCAGAGCCCCCACATCGGGTACCCCTACGGGAGTCCGCCCTCGCCCACAGCCCACTCGCGCGACTTTTGCTTCGACCGCCAGCCGGGCCAGGCCGCGTCCAGCAGTTCGTCCAACTGTAGCTCGGTGACTACCTCCACCTCGTCCCCGACCCGCTACTACCCGGACATGGCAGCGGCCCCACTCTATCCGTCCCGGTTTGAAGACGACTTCTGTGTGCGTCGCCCGGCAGATAACCCGCCCCTGCCTCCCACAGCAGCGGCAGGCTCCGCCACGGGTCCCTTCATCTTCGGCATCTCGCCCGAACAGCAGCCCACGGACTACGGCTGCACCCCGCCAGCGAACCCGACAGCGTCGGTAAACGCACTCCAGCCTGTGATAGGTCCGTTCAGAAAGGAGCAAAGCCCACTGGTGAGTCAATAAATGGGAAAAAACTGAAACAGAAAATTACCAGACTAGGATGGATTATTTGTCGTTTTTGTTGGATATCCCAATGGCGTTCCAATGTGAAAATGGAACTAAAAATCATTTAAATATAATTTCATAAACTCTCAAATACTCGTTTCGCGTTAAAAAGTTGTATTTATTAGAGTGCATTCATTATGAGGTTTTAACCTATCTAGGAAATGAGTCGGATTGTACGGACTGTGGGGATTCTGCCAGTAGCACTGTGGCAACCTGTTGAATGGGTCTTGCATGTCGTTGAGGAGCAGGTGCTGCCGTTACCGGATTCGCACTTGTTGCTCCATTTGGCTAAACTAAACACTTAGCGGCCGTCAGTCCAAAACATTGTCAAATGTCCAATTAAGAAATACCTTTGTGGAGCTTATGATATTGAATGATCTGACAAAAGGTAAGACGCGAGCCATAAACAAGCAAGCAAAAAGCAGACGGCTGGGAGAAGTAAATGGGAACCTGTGGAGAGCGGAAGAGTACTGAGAGAAACGAGAATTTCACAGCATGCAAACAGCGGAATGGGGAATCGAGGTAAACGTAAATTCAGGGTCGGATTAATTAATTACACTTATTACACTGTGGCACAAAATCGAACTGTTTTTTTTTTATCTGGACCGAAATGAATGAATGAATGAATCAAGAATTAATTGGTTTTTGTTAAAAGAATTTTGTAAAAATTGAATTTTCTTTTTAAATGTATTTTGCAGAGGTTAACTTGTTGTTTTCCACATTGCTTGGGCATTCTGCACCTATATAGCTTGTCCCAAGCTACCTTTTATCAATCCCTTTCAGCCCTCAGAGCTTTATAGCTTCTGCTTACCGTCTGGAAAATATTCAGCCTTCAAACGAAAAATTGATAACTTTTGTTCTCGGTATTAGTTGTTAAAATCAATATGAATACATACAAGAAAAGTGGGTTTGCGGCCAGATTTGCACTGACTGTTGCATAGTGATATTTTCCGAATAACAGAAAATATTTTTTGTTTCGATTGTGGTTTTTTTTTTGGAGGTTATGGCTAAGAACTTACCACTTTATTCCAGAATTCTTACTGGTATTTACGCGCATAAAAATGTACATCAATAACAATACACATTAATTAATTAATAAATTAATTTAAACAATCGACATAAATATCAGAAACTTTGATTTCAAAACATAGTACATACACTACTGGTCAAAATAATAAGTACACGCTCATGAGCTTTCTTTCAGGTCTAAAAACTTTTTAAAGAGAACTATCAAGGAATTTTTTCATACCCGTACTCAGTCACATAAACATTTTTAAGCCTACGATTTTTTATTTTTGAAATAACAAAAATTTTACATTTAACTTTAGCTTTGGCGATTATTTTTGACATACTAGCAATGTATATTCTACATCTAACATGTAGATTGGACATGTTCCATTCCAAGTTCTACATCTCCCCGCTAGGGGTTCCTCGCGACTGAACGCGGCAGAGTGTGCCAACGGAAAATGTTTAAGTCGTTTGATAGATTGAGTAGGGGGGGGAAGCAACGAAAATTGATTTCTTCATCTGGCTAATTCAGAACCGATCTGATTCAGATTCGGCAGTCTGGTAGATAAACCAAGCCTTGACACTGCGTTTCTAGTTTTAGTCGTATCTTTAAAAATGTGCCTGCCAAAGATCCCACCTTTGGGGGAAGGGGGCGGGGTGTTTTCCTTGCAACAGTGGCACAATGAGTCTGGAAACCAAATTTTGTTACCCTATGTATTGGTCTCAAGCGCTCATGCAGAAAAAAGACAGACAGACAGACAGACAGACAGACAGACAGACAGACGGACAGACAGACATGGTTTGTACTCGGCTATGATGCTGATCAAGAATTATATACTTTATGGGGTCGGAAACATTTCCTTCTCTGCGTAGACACATCCACCTACCAAAAATATTTGTTTCCTTTTTTTAGTACGGGTATTAAAACAGTAAGAAATTCACTTAACTTTAAGATTACTAACCTACAGGAAAATGCAAAAACTGTAACATACGCAATTTTAGCTTCAAATGAAGGGTTTCTGATCAATTTTATCTAAAAAACATAAACAAGGGCCTTAAGTTCGGCAATTCTACAAAGTTAAAAACTCAAAGAATACAATTTTTTCACTTTTTCTTATATTAGTAATCCTACTATTATCTGAGATGACCCCCTATTTTCTTTAGCTTTGGCGATTTTTTTGGCATACCAGAAATGGCTTTGCCAAGGACTACTGGAATCTCATACCAGTTTTTGGGCAAATTCTGGCGATGCTGGAGTTTCGAAATGTATTTGTGCCAACGCGACGTTTTAAGTCTCCCCTAGTTGAATATTGGGTTCTAGTCGGAAGATTGACTTAACTAATTCAAAACGTTTACCTGACCTCCATAAACCAAGCCTTGACCAGCCTTGCGGTGTGTTTTTAGTCGTTGTCCTGTTGTAAGACCCACCTCAAGGACAATCTTCACTTCTTCAGCATAACGATGCATAATGTCGGCCCAATAGGAACATTTTTGTAACTGTATTGGTTCAACGCCAAGAAATCAAAAAAAAGTCACAATCCTTTGACCAAATCCCAAGGTGGTTAAACATTTTTTTGTACTCATCGAATTATCTGCCTTTGGGGTCGTACTCTCTGAACTTTACCAAAAATATTTGCTCTTTAGCCGCTACAAATTTATTAGTTCTTTTCAGAATTAAATTAAGGGCGCTCACAACTTTCATTTTTGATTTAAATATTTGGCAAAACTGTAATCTTTAAGAATATAAACAATTGGCAGTCATAAATTCAAAAACATTCGAGAATTTTTTAAAAACTCAGCACGATGCCTCTGTACTTATTATTTTGACCAGTAGTGTATATTAAAATCAGCAAAAGTTAACTTATTTTTATAATTCATATTTGTTTTTATTATTAACCTCAGTTGAGCAAGATTCATAGATTCATCATTAAACTTCTTCTACAGTGTCTCTTTTAAATACATAAATTTTAGTCTCATATTAACCCGAGAGATTATTATTATATCGTGCGAATATGCGTAACATTCAAATCAACAAAAAATATATTTATTTATTATTGGGTACAATTAAAGCAAATTCCGACTAAAAACTACAATATCGTACATGCTGAGATGCGAACTAATTATCCGAAAAATGTTGCCAGAGCTTCGCCCCAAAGCTAGCCTTTTCTTCGGGTATCCGTTGCTCAGAGCTGCTGCCACTCCTAGTGAGAAAGCTGTCAAAATGTCCATTGGACGTCTTATTGATAATGGCCGTGTAGGCACACTCCCTTGCACCCTATTCCGGAAATGGCGAGAGGGACAAGTCAACTGATGGATTAGAACCTGCCCAGCTGGTAATGGAAGAAAATACTCGCAAGAAAAAAAGACAACAGTGTCTGGGAAGAACTCTGGCTAAGCTTTTCATTTAAACACGCCCGATGCCTGCCCCCCTGGCTGCCCTATTAAAGGCAAGGCAATGCAAATAATGTTGCACAACGTAATTGGAAGAAAACGAAATTGTATAACCGTACATAAATATACGTATGTATGTATGTAAGTGTGATACCCTCACCCTCTGCTGCCACTCTGTCACCCAGCCAACGTTGGCAGGGGCCGGAGAGGCGGAGGAACGCAACAATCCTGCCGTAGATTGAACAGCAGGTGCCAGAGGGAGCGCCAGAGAAACCGCGAAAGTAGAATCTGAAAGGAAGGAAGGAAAAAATTTCCTAATTACTAATTAAGTTGGCTAATTGCCGGACAGATATTCCCCTCTGGAGGGTGGACGATGTCTTCTATATCCTCGGTGAGGGTGTGATCATTGAGTGTCAGCCTTCAACACATTGCAGTGATAAGCCGAAGCCGAAGCCGAAGCCCAAGCCATGGCTTTAAATTCATTCATACAAATCTCCAACTAAAAAAAAAGGGAAATATAATTATAAATATCACTCACCAGCGGGTGAGTGTTCCCTTTGCCTTAGTGGTTGGTTTGGAATCTTCTGCTGGGAGCAGTTGCTTGGCGGCAGACTTCTCAACTGTTTTCAATTGTTTGCACGTGTACATATGTATGTATGTATGTAAATACATGTATGTATGTAACACGCATGCTTAATTCTACTGATCCCCGAGAAGATTCAGATCATCTCCAGCTTAGGCCCGACCATAAACAGCAGTCATCATGCATCTGCCTGGCGTACATATGTACCTAAGCATGTAAAACTTAGCCTATTACTTAATAATCAAGCACAGCAATTCCTGATAGTTGCTAAAGTAAATAAACAAGCAAGAAACATGTACATACTATACAGGCGCCATGGTAGTGTAGCACTTCTATTATTTTGACTGCAATACATGTACATACATACATACATATGTGCATCTATATACATATATATGTACATATACTTATATGGCATCAAACTAGCTCGCGAGGTTGCGGTTTGCACGCGGCGCCAGCAGCCACTACTCGGGCTACAATCGAAAAGCAATTCCAACTCGAGCAACGCTCGCCACCAGTCAGAGCTGAGAGACACTTTAATGAAATCGAATGCAACTCAATCCACGCCGAACAACAAAATCCAAAACCGAGCCGAACCGAACCGAATAAAATTAAATTTCGAAAGGCAGCAACTGCAACAGCCAACAGCCAACAGCCAACATCGAGAAACGAGAAACGTCTTCGGTTACATGGCCAGGCAGGCCATAAAAGACCATACAAGTGAGGGATACTCGTACGAGTTAAATGCTTTTGTTTTGGCATTGCGAGCTCAATGAACATTCGATAAGTAGAGCGATGATTACACTGGCCAACAAGGCAGACACGATTTTAATCATGGGTAACGCTAGACACATATGCATGCAGGTTTCCAGAGAGGATACTCGTACTTGTGTTGAGAGTATTTCGACTGAGAGGTAGCCGCCCCTCGATGCCTTTATTTGTCTGGCTAATTTCTTAGTTCCAA